GAGAGAGAGAATGAGAGACAGATAGCAAGAGAGGGAAGAGGGTCAGAGGGAGAAGCAGACCCCCTGCTGAGCAGGGAGCCCAACCTGAGCCGAAGGCAGTCGCTTAACCAACTGAGCCACCCAGGCGCCCTCAACTACTTTCTTTTCTCTGTCTTCCAATCTTTCTTCTTATCCTGGTTCCAGTCATTAGAAGAGTTACAAAGTACCCTGGTATCCAGAAAGTTTTTTAAAAAGTTAAGTTCTTCACTTTTCTTTTTATTAGAGAACTCTAAAACTAGTATTAGTGATGAAGAAAGAGCCCCAACCATTTGTTTCAAATTTACTTCCAGGTTGAGTTTAGCTGTGACTGAAGTTGTTACAGTTTGGGTTTGGTTGGAAGCAGATGATGTGAAAAACAAAAAAACAAAACAAAACAAAAAACCCCAGGTTTTTTCTTTTCCCCCAGTTCACGTCCAATTTAAAAAATAACATCTGAGTTTCCTTTTTTGCTGAGGGATACATAGTCATTTTGGCTTGTTTAAGGCTTTAGCTAAACAAAGACCACAGGTCTAATAGGTGCTATTAACAAACAACAACCCATTTTGAAAAATCACATTGATCTTAAAGAGAAAAAAAAGGCACTTGATGTTTGAATACATATATTATATCTTTGGAATTTATCGTATAAAGAAGACATCACATGGATATGGCATACCAAAGAAGAGAATACAAATCTAAAAAATAAATTTTGAAATAGCTCACTGCAGTCTCTCACTTGAAAATGATGTAAACATGCCTCTTGCCCAGATCAGAAGGTGCGATATTAACAGAAGAGTGAAACCTTTCTGGTTTTTCCAGTTACTAGATCAGAGTTGGAACCCCAACTCTGTTACTTTGTGTGTGAGTGTGGGCAAGTAAGAATAGTGATTGCAGCTATAAATACTATGCGCACAAATATATGTTGATTGACTAAGGACTAAGCAAATAATTTAAATATCCCTACATCTTAATTTCTGTATTTCTAAAAAATAGAATTGGACCTCTCTCAAAGGGCTGGGCTGTGATGACTGCATACATGTAGAGCACTTAGCACAACGCCTAGCATAGAATAAGCACACAATAAATATTACTGTCATCACAGCAAGCAAACAGTCTACAACTGACATAAATATCCGAACTGCTAAAATATGAATTGTAAATAATGAGTTAGAGTCAACCCCAGACTACCATCCATTAAGGAGATAATGAGTTACAGTCAACCCTAGACTATCATCCATTAAGGAGAATAAGGCAATAAACTACCTTTAAACTTCATGGGGTTTTTGGTCAACAAACTTTTCTCTAGGGTTCAAGGAAGAGCTAGAGAATAGTGATACACTCAAAACAGTTGAGGGAAAGTTGAGAGAGAAACAGAAGGCGGTTAAAGAGTGAATCAGGTGGCTCTGATAATGCATAAGCAATCAATAAACAAGAGAGGATTATTATTGTATTTGATCTAGTCTTCAGCACTCACTTCCAAGGCAGTGAAAATTATTAAGCTCCACAAAGGTGAGGGGCTACCCCTGCCTCAGGGCAGCTTAATGGAGCTGCTTTCATAGGTGTGTTTGCTGGTTATTTTATTTTTTTAACCTGGTGATGAAGAGTACGGAGATGGAGTATTTGCTCCTCTCTGCTAACAATCCTTGAATTGACTCTCTCCACACTACCTACCCTGGTATAAAAAGTGAAGGAATAATTCCAGTAATCTTTGGTTTACTGCTAGTCAGTCATTTCTATATCCCATTTAGAGAGGCAGTGGTATGAGATAAAACTCATGGGAGCAAGCACCTAGCCTCTGGGCCTCTTAGATGAAATATATTGAACTGAATTCCTTTATCAATTATCATATATTTCACTTTCTTTTGTTTTATTGAGAAGGCAGAAGAGATTTGGACTAGAGACTGCTAATTAGAAAAAATAACAGATGTTACACAAATGAAAACAGTTTTCCTGTCTCCATGCAATTTTTGTTAATACATCTCACAAAAACTGCTTGCTAAAACTATACCTTAAAAATCGGGCGCCTGGGTGGCTCAGTTGGTTAAGCGACTGCCTTCAGCTCAGGTCATGATCCTGGAGTCCCAGGATCGAGTCCCACATTGGGCTCCCCACTCAGTGGGGAGTCTGCTTCTCCCTCTGACCCTCTCCCCTCTCATGCTCTCTCTCATTCTCTCTCTCTCAAATAAATAAAATCTTTAAAAAAAAAACCAAAAAAAACTATACCTTAAAAATAAAACAGAATGAATTAAATACTGTTTTTATTGACTCACCTGTGAATGATCTTATTTTATTCCTCTTTCTCCTTTCTTAAACCCAATTTCAACCCATTATTCTATTTCTTTCCCATTCTCTTTTTCAGCTTTTTAAGAAAAAAATAGGGGTCTCTGAATCTGGTACCTAATCCTTAACTAGTCATTTGCTCAAAGTATTTTTATTATTTTCATAATGATATTTGATACTAACGTTATGTTTCAAGGCTACCCCAACCACCTTATGGATCAAGGAATGTTAAATACTTTTTTTTTTTTTTTACAGATTTCCTTCCTTCCTTCCTTCCTTCCTCCCTCCTTCCCTCCCTCCCTCCTTTCCTTCCTTCCTTCCTTCCTTCCGCAGAGGGAGAAGCAGACTCCCCACTGAGCAGGGAGCCCAATGTGGGGCTTGATCCCAGAACCCCAGGATCATGACCTGAGCCAAAGGCAGACACTTAACTGACTGAGCCACCTAGACACCCCAATAATTTCAATATAAACTGAAAACAATGTGTACTTAAAAATGTAAGTCTTTGGGGGAAAAATGTAAATCTTTGGGGTAAGAGAAACAAATTTCAAAGTAATGTTTTCAACTGTGAAATCTTGGAATTCCTTTTGCTCTCTTTTGTCACATAAGCCTTAGTGAACTATCTCACAAAGTTCTCTAAAAACTAATTCAGCAGAGGTGGGATGCAAGATTGATGGTATAGAATCGAGAAGGATATAAGGTATGTTAACACAATAATTGGATGACAAGAGGTGATGGTACGAATTAGGGAGATTGTAATTCTTGTTTTACTCATTTGCCACCTTTAAAAGTGCAAGATGATTTCTAGGCTACTCATTAAGCCAGTATCCAGACCTACCTCCTCACAAACTGTAGAAAAGCGGTTGAGGAACTGTACAGTGTGCACCACAAACTGGTTTAGAAATGCCACCGTTCTTTTCTGTTGAATAGCTGGCACCTGTGTTATGTAAAAACAAACATGATTTGTACAGGACAAAGTACCCCGTGCAAACCCTTTGACATCAGTTTTATATATGCACATACATATCGCTCTCTCTATATATATCTATATATCCCTTTGACATATAACAGGGCATTTTGCTATGTTATAGGAGTTACTCGAAGTACTACAAATAGTCACTAACTTGTTCTCCTAAACTGTGGGGGTGGGGTGTCCGATGATGACATAAGTTACAAAGTTTGAGAAAGGACTCTGGACTCACAAGTGTGAACTTTAGCAGGTAAAGGCAACACACATAAACACACAAAAAACTTGGGGACTAAATAAAAGAGGTGGGGTTAGAAGTCGTAACCTGCCCGTGTCGCCATCGTGTAACCCGTGCGTAGAGCGACTCCTAACACGGGAAGCGAAGCCTGGAAAAAGCACACCACCCTCTTAGACGGATCAGGAGGGACCCCTTTTTAAACTGTGGGACTTTACCCCCCGAGACCGGGACCAGAGACGCCCGGCGCTAGGGACAGAGTTGGATATGGAGAGATGGGGTGTCCCTGGGAACCGAGCGTCCCTTCCCCATCCTACTCCCAGGTCGCCTAATTTCAACTAGGTCTTTTACAAACCTTGGTCAGGTCTATGCCTGACCCCATGAGAGGAAGCCCGTCCTCATCCATCTCCTCAGCGGGCGGGGTACCCGGGGCTCACCCACAAACCCCTCCCAGACGGGGCCCGCCCAACCCGGTAATAATGTACAAACACCTCCCCTAGTCCCCGCCTCCGACGCCCTTCCCACCGGAAGGAAACGCCTCCGCTCGCCAATCACTCGGCTGCTCCCGTAGAACCCGCCTCTTTGCACGGCATTCTGGGATTGGTAGTTCGTCTGGATTGTGATGTCAGACGCAGAGGCGCGGGGTGGGGCAAGGCTGCGGTTTTAGCAATAAAGTCTTAAAAAGGGGGCAAAAAAAAAAAAAAGGAAACACTGAGTCCGGTTGAAGTTATCCCTGCTTACCCCTCTCTGTTATCTAAATAGCTAAGTCATTCGTTAATTTAAAAAATATGCATTTTTAAAATCCCAAGTGCCGGATACGCTCCTAGATCCTGTGGCAATACAAAGACTGAACTTGCTGCACTGAAGAGTTTTATGCCCTGAAGGAGGAGACAAAACTTGTTTCCTAAGGACTTTAAAATTTTGAAATAAAATGTCAAATGCTACAAGTGAGGCAAACGCCGATGGAAATGACATCCACTTAGATCATCAAAAAGGTACAACAGACAGACACCTGACAGAACTTTGCATCAGGGATTTGAAGATCTTTGCTCAGATTTTGACTGTGCAGCTTAATACCTATAGGATCTAGGACAGCCACCAAACCAAAATCTGAACCCCTTCTATGTACCAACCAAGATGCTTAGTATTGAAAAGATGGAGAATAGTCTCTGCCTTCGGAAAGCTTATAGTTTAGGGCAGATATAGAAGTGTCGCATCTAGACCGAGGTGCTAACAATACTGAGAAAGTTGTGCACTTGCACACACGTGGGTGTGTATGCCCACATAAATGCAAATATACCACAGATAAAAGGTGCTCCTAAATCCTCCGAGAAAACCAGAGAAGGTAGCTTTGTAGCAGGTGCTTGAGTGGAGTTATGCAGGCAATTTGGGGTGGACTCTTCTACAAAGGCACAGAGGCATGGGTGTATGGTATGTAGGGGAAATGGAAAGCTGCTTGATTCTGTTGAAGCTAAAAAATCCCAGAAGTGGAGAATAGTAGGAAAGGAGTCAGAAGTAGACAGAACAGCTCATTGAGGACCTTTTGTGCCACATTTGATACTATAGTTCATGTTTCTCTAAAGTGTGATCCATGAACCACCTGTATCAATTATTTGGGAGTGGGCAGTACTTCCTAAAATGTGCATTCCAGAGATTAATCTTAAACAGGACCTCTGGGGGTAAGCCTAGAAATCTGCACTTTACCCCTCCCCCCCCATTATTCTAAACTGAAAGGTTAGGAAGTTTGTTCTGTAGGTGATGAGAGCCATTAAAAATTCTGAGCAGGAGAGTGACATGATTCACTCTTTCATGACTTTCCTTTTATCTCTCTGGCCATTCATCTTTTCTTTGTCCCTTCTCATTTTCCCAACCTCTGGAGTTTCCCATATTTATATATCTAAGCCAGATCTCACATTAGAAGCCAGTGTAGCTGAAGCAGAGTGAGCAAGGTAGGGGAATTCAAGGAGATGAAAGTTATGTGGGGGACAGATCATGGAGAGCTTTGTAGGCTATTGTAAGGACTTTGGCTTTCTGGGTAAGATGGGAAGTCATGGAAAGATTTCAAGCAGAAGCATGATGGGAGCCACCGAAGAGCTTTAAGCAGGGGAGTGGCATGATCAGAATTGTATTTGAGGACATTCTATTTGGCACAAGGTGTAAGAGTGACATGAGGGTGGCAGGCAAGCCTGGAATTACACAGCTATAACAGTCACCTTTTACTCCATTCTCCTTTACATTTAAACATACATCAAGTTGTATGTCTTCTAGCTCCTACATAGCTTTTGAATCTGTCTGTAACTCTTCATCTTTATGGCCACATCTCAAGTTCTAACATTCTCCAATATTACTGTAATAACCTCTTCCTGCTTCCATCTTGTGTCCCTCCAGCCTAACCACATTGTATCCATATAGTGACTGTTTACAAAGACAAATCTGATTGTTACCCAGGATATAATCGTTTCTCATTTCCCTCAGTTTAATGTGCTCACAAGTCCCTCTGTATGGCTCTTGCTCACTTCTCTAACCTCACTTCTCACTATCCTCTCCATTTAACACCCCCCAAATGTCTTTAAATTCCTGAAACCGGGAATTGCTGTGGGGCTTAAACATACTGTGTCCTTTGCCTGGAACAGTCTCCTTTTTTCCCTGACCACCCCTGCCTAACTCCTACTTACGCTCATCTCCTTTATCCATGGTTTTCAAAGTTTGAATACAGTGTATTTGGATGTAATTTTCTTTGTATTTATCCTTCTTGAAGTTTGCTGAGCTTCTCAGATCTGTGGTTTGATGTTTTAAATCAAGTTTTGAAAGATTTCTTGGCCATTAGTTTTCAAAAAAAATTTTGTCACATTTTTTTTTCTGGGACTCCAAGATACATGTATGTTTGATCGCTTGATACTGTCCACAGTTCACTGATGCTCTGCTCATTTTTTTCTCCCTGTGTTTCTGAGTAGATAATTCTTATCAACCTATCTTAAGCTCACTGATACTTTGTTTTCTAGCGTTCAATTTATTATGAAACTACTCATCCAATGAATTTTGATTTTAGACTTTTCAGTTCTAAAATGTCCATTTTTAGGAGTTTCTATTTTTTTTTTTAAGATTTTATTTTATTTGACACAGAGAGACAGAGCAAGAGAGGGAACACAAGCAGGGGGAGTGGGAGAGGGAGAAGCAGGCTTCCCGCGGAGCAGGGAGCCCGATGTGGGGCTCGATCCCAGGACCCTGGGATCATGACCTGAGCCGAAGGCAGACGCTTAACAACTGAGCCACCCAGGTGCCCCAGGAGTTTCTATTTTTCTCCTAAAATTCCCTGTACCCTTCTTTTCCTTAGGATATATGTATATATAGAGCTACACTTGAGCAGAGTCCCCAACTGGCCAGCTTAGCCTTTCTCTTCAGAGCCAGGAGAGGCTCCCAGTGAGAGGAAAAAATAAAAAACCAGACAGTCGCTTCATGGTTATGTATGGTTATCTGTAAGTAGCAGGCATGCATAGATATAGAATTAAAGAAACATGAACTTCTTCTCAGTTGCCCAGTTGACAAATTTTTTTCAAAGTGGTTTGGTTTCTTAAAAAAAGACAAAATGCTAGATGTGATTTCTAGTTAACAGAAAGAAGAGTGGCAGTTTCTCTCTGCCTCCTGGGACCTTTGATGATTACTGTTCATCAGTCATCCATAGCTCCTGACAGCAGTGCCATTCACAGTTTAATAACTGAATTTCCAGGACTACTAAAAACAATCTATATCTAGAAGTTTTGGCCAACTGCCAGAAGCCTCTGAAGTATGTACTCCTTCCTCCAGGCTTTCATTGGAAATGATTAACAGATTTCATTTACTGTAGTGAATTTTGAAGGCAAAACAAATAGATTGTAATGAATACTGATTTCAAAGGGCAGAGATTATATATATCACCCACATATATCCATTCAATAAAAAATCTTAAGAATGTTTCAACAGTTAACTTTGTTTTCATTGCAGATTACTAGAAAATATTTAATTTTATCATGGGTAAGTTCTTAGGTAAGCAAAACAATGAGAATTGGGTTCCTATTTTTCTTTTTATTTCTTCCTGCTCTGCTTCAGGATGAATAGAGGGGTGTGGTGTTTCTTCATAAGAGTGGGAAAATAAAATTAAATGTTCCCTATCCGTCCCCTCTGCCCTATCCCTTATGAGTGATACAAATTGTCTATTGGGACTTGGCTAAGTGAAGGAATTCTAGCCTACAGATTTCATTTGTGTTAAGAATTTAATGTCTCAGCTACTGCTTTTAATTGTTCTGCCTTTTCAAACTTTCAGACTCAGAAAGTTGGGTTGTAGGCTTATATCCTATATGCAGGACATTGGATTCTTCTCTGGAAAGCTTACTACCTTAAGAGATCTAAAGATATTTAGTTAGGGGGTCCTCAGTAAAACAGCACATAGCCTAATGATGATCCTGCTTTCTTTGAGGGGACTTGGGTGGGCAGGAAGCTCTCACTGTTGCATTTGTACCCACCAGTTTTAATTTATGGAGGTGACTAATTGATGACAGAGTATAATGCTATTGAGAGTTTATTACACATTTCCCAAGAGAAGGGGGCACACCATGCCACACAGGGCCACAGGGAAAACACCAGATTTGGGTAAGGAGGCAGACAGAAGCAGGAGCTGGGGGAAGGCACAGGCCAGAGTCTTTATTCAGGTGTCTGTGGGAAAAGCAAGGCAGGGCAGGGGAAACAGTTTAAAGACTGGCTGGTGTGAATGATTCTGGTGAGCTTTGAGACACAGGAGCTGTCCCTAGCTGTCTGTACCTAGCCTTGAGTTGACATAGGACAGGGGAAATATTGGCTTGGTGTATGAAAGTTAGATAAAGAAGTAGTTGGGGTTACTGGGCTCCAGATTGGTTGGTTTGCGAATGAAATAATGTACTTCCAAGTAAGTTGTTTCACTATTTTTAGGAATTAGCTAGTCATGGAAGAGGTGGTTTCTCTTAAGATCTATAAGGCCATGAATACCAGAGCTTCAAGAATACAGAAAAACAAAAATATATATATATATATATAATTGGCCCTGTGATGAATGGATGCTAAAAAGACAAATACAGAATCTAAGAAAACAGTGAGAATACTCACTTTTCAGTATGTGGATTTCAGGTAATAGTTTCAGCAAGGCACCTCACTCCTGAGTCTAGAGTCTCATACAATATCTGAAGTGATCAGAGGGGAAGGAGCAGCTGTCTGGCTACGCAAACTAGGGGGAGGGTATTTGGAAGGGGGCATGTCTAACTACTACTCATCTACACTCTCAATCAAACCTCCTATTTTAGTAATCCCTGAAGCACTGCATTCCCCCTTCCGAGGAACTAATGCCCCAAGAATTCGAAGTGTCTTAACTTTCCTGCTTTAGAAGATGATGCCACTTCTCTTCTTTCAATCCTTACAACACTCCTTGCTTTCATTACTCATTGATACCTAGCACATGCTACCATTATCTTTTTGTGACAATGT